AATGTACAAAAATAAACTACTGGTCAGAACTACATTTAAAAAAACAAAACAACCTACAAGTCTGTCTCTTTGGAAGGAAAATGTACTGAAACGAGTGGTGGCTCAAGACATTTACACAATATTGTAGATAAAAACTTTACAGCAAAAAATGGCACAATATGCTTGTGTCAAGATTACAACTGTATTATTCAAACATGTCTAATAATGAAGGACTTAAAAAAAGTGGATAACATAATCACAAAACCATCGCTGGAATTAAAAGGACAGAAAACCTGAAATGTGCACACGTTCAAATACACAAAAAAACAGCTTCCCAGTGTCCTACATTCAAATTTGTCCCGTTACCATAGTGCAGCCATAGAATGAATGCGCTGCTTAAACTGCTGCCCACTGACAAAGCTATCACAGAACAGGTTGCATCTTAGAGTTTAAACCTTCCAACACATCATCCCTGAACTTTAAACTTTACACAAACAGCCAACAACTTTCAGTCATCATCATCACCAAACTTGATCTTCTTCCCCTGGAAGGCCAGGATTTGTCCTTGCTGCTCCTTCCTTCTCTTACTGGCCTCCCAGGATGGATGCAGTGCCTGCTGTGGTGCCCGATGTGAGAAGACACCTCCACCCCTGTGATCTTTTTGTCTCAGAACATCGCCTCTGCCTTGTCCCCTTCCTCTGCTAGCGGTAGCAAAGCCCTTATCCTCAGACTCGGGGTGTTTGCCATCGGGGTAGGGCTTGCTGTACTTAGACCCTGAACTTTTCTCCAGCTTCTGGAACTTGGGCTGTTTATTGAAATCTTTATTGTGTTTCCTAAATTTATCTCCACCTTTCCCTCTGCCAGCACCTCTACCCCCAGCTGCCTTGGTCCCAGCCAGAGAAGGACAGAAGAGAGACTCCAGCTTGGTCGTTTTTGATTTCAGCCTAGATTCAAGCTCATCGAGTTGATTCTCGAGCTTGTCCGAAGACACGTTCTCAGCAGAGTCCTTTCCTGCCTCAGCTCTCTTATCCGCCGGCATCTTCTCCATACTTTCGTCTTTTGGCTTTTTCTTTTTCTTCTTGAATTTGCTCACTTTTCCTACAAAGAAGCCGTCATCATCATCGCTCTCCTCCGACTGCGATGACTGGTTGTGGAACCGTTCCTCCGTGCTGTCATCAAAGTACTCTTTCTCTTCATCACCGAATGACTCTAAATCGCTCTCTTCCTCAGCTGGCTCAGCCTGGATAATGGGTTTCTCTTTTTTAACTGGAGGTTTATTTTTCACAATCTCCTTTATGTCACTAGTTTTTCCTGGTGCTGCTCTAACACTCTTAGGCTCCGTCTTTTTTTGTGCGTGAACATCAGAAGTTCCACCTTTCTCCATTTCTTCTCCGACTTCGGCAACAGCTCCATCTTCACTCTCTTTATGACGTTCCTCCTCGCTGTTTTCCCTAAGCTCCTCTTTTCCCTCCTTTTTCTCTTGTAACTGCAGAGTCACCTTTCCTTCCACTGCCTTCCCTTGATTTTGCACTTTTTCCTTTCCTCCTCGCTTCCCGCTCTTCGTCCGCTCCTCTTTGAAGGCTTTTACAGCTGCTTTGATGTTCTCAATCTTCCTGCTGAATTGAGGGTGGGTGGCGATGCGAGCGATGGCCCGGTCAGATATGGTAGACTTGGGGTTCTTGCAAACCTGCTCAAAGCTGAGATTCTTCTGTAAGGCGGTCTTGGTCACCTGTAGATAAGTTGAAAAAAATATTTCAAAATGAAAAGATAAAGAATGAAATGGCTTGGAAGTCGTTGCAGAAATGATTTGCTGATAGGACAACAAGCCCACCTGATCGGGTACGAGGTTCTTCATGTCGTGGATCTCTTCCAGAAGTCTGGCGGCTCTCCTCTGATTCCTCTCCATCTCGGTCTCGTTCCCCTTCTTCTTCTTCAGCGCGCCAATCTGACGTGTCAGCTTCCTTATGATCAATGCCCTGACCCTCTTCACCTCCTTCCTCATCTTCACCACCTCGTTGTTGAGGTTCAGCACATCTGCCTCCTTTTTCTCCTCATCATGATCAGGTAAGGGATTCTTTTCCTGCTCCTTTTTTCCCTCATCTTCTTCCCTCTCACTTCCTTCTTCTTCCTCTTCTGTTTCTTCTTCATCTGTCTCTCCCTCCATCTCCTTCTCTTCGTCCTCAGCGGACGGCACCATTTTCTCCATTTTGTGCAGCATCATCTGTTGAAAAATAAATCCATATACTGCAATAAGAGCAAGAAGTGCAGCACTAGCAATGGTGCAAAAGAAAAAAGTCACGTGAGGGCGAAATGATCTTTTTTTACCCCCATATTAAGTAACCAGAATGCGAACGGTCATAAAAAATTCAAAGTGCAATTCATTGATATTTGAGGTTATTTAATATAGAAAAAAATGTAATCATAAATATACATCAATTAGATTATTACATCCTCCAACAAACAGATGCATTCTCATAAACTTAGAATTAATGTATTAAAACCACAAAGGACCGGCTGCCTATTTGTGGAAGTCACCATGTTGTCTTGTCATGTTGAATACAGTGGCTGAGCTAAACTCTTGTCTTTTAAATTAGTGTCTGCACCTTCAGATGATATGAAACATCATTCCTATGTTTTATCATGTGAGAAGGAGTCGCCTTCACCAAAGAATCGAAAATGAAGGAAAGAGACAACGCCACCGCCATATGGATAAAATGTCATCCTCTTCCTCCTCACCTCAACCCTCTAAACAAAGTCAGGGCGCTACGACATGAAAATATGCACAAACATGTTCATTTACTCCAGTTATTGTTGCAATTAGTTATTGATCAGTTATTGACCCCCCCCCCATATTTTACTCACAGCTGACAACAGGTCAGCTAAACAACAAGAACAGCTGGTTATGACCTAATGTTACACAAGCTAACGTTAGGCTTGAGTGTCATAGGAATCACACTTTCTCTCTGATAAACAGCTTGATGACATCTTCACTTATATAAGAATTTATTCAGTAAGTGCAGCAATGTTGAAACCACTAATGCTAATGTCTGCTAACAGCAGCATACACAGCAGTGCTTATTGACCAAAAGGTTCAAAATATCCTCAACAGTTCACCTCTGTATCGCCATCATCAATCAGACGTTAGCCTCACTGACTCGTATCAGACTCCTTTCACAAAGTTTTTAGGATACTAACCGAGGTAAATAGCAGACTGGCAGCTTACACTCACTACAGGTGAGCGTTGGTCACAGTTGTTTGTCCTACAGCGACCACCTTAGTTACAATCTACTGATGGCTAGGGGTGGGATTTTACACATTTCACCTATAAGTGGCTTTAAAGGAGAGGCATGCCACTCAAAGAATCCTGACTTTAGGAGGTGAAGGGTGGGGTTAAAAAATTATTTTGGGGCAATGGTGACACACTTTAAGTTGATTTATCAGATTAGATAGATGGTAAATGGCCTGTATTTGTATAGCGCTTTTACTAGTCCCCCCTAGGGACCCCAAAGCGCTTTACACACCCAGTCATCCATCCATTCACACACACATTCACACACTGGTGGAGGCAGCTACAGTTGTAGCCACAGCTGCCCTGGGGCAGACTGACAAAAGCGAGGCTGCCATCGGCCCTTCTGGTCAACACCAGTAGGCGGTAGGTGAAGTGTCTTGCCCAAGGACACAACGACCGAGACTGTCCGAGCCGGGGCTCGAACCGGTGTTGTGCCAAAAAGTGATTGTCTGTGTATTTTTTATGTGTAATATCTTTACGTATGTTCGTAAATAGACTTCGGTGAACAGGGGATACAAAGGGGTTACATAAAGAATTAAAACATTATCTGTTTTTTAAGTATCTTTACAACTTGTACTTACATTATAACCAATCCGGTCCTTTATCCCCACTTAAAATATTTTTACAGAACTATTGTAATATTTGCTGCCATTTCTGCTGTCTTGTTGGGCAACTTACTCTTACAAAATACATTTTTAATGTTAATGAGATTTTTTTTACTGCATAAATAAAGGTTATATAAAAGTCGCTGCCAAAAACTGATTGCGGCTTGTATCTTGCTACACGAATGTTGTTTGTGGCTCAAGATGACTTTATGTCATCCATAAGGGATGCATTTGACATATGTTTAACATATTATAGCCCAACAAGTTACTTATAGCACTTTAAATATGAGCAATCGCTTTTTGGCAAATACCGGAAATCAGTTTTTGGCAGACAATCACTTTTTGGCACAACACCGGCAACCTTCCGATTCCGATTAACTCCCAGCCACGATCGCCCCGCAATCGTGGCTCAAATGCAGTTTTTATGTCCAAGTAACCACTGAAAGTACAGTAAGATTTTAGCTCATACATCAAAACAACTTTCCTCTGTGGCAGAGTGGCATGACGTCCCCCAAAGAAGGAGTTTGTTTCTGAAGTCCACCCCACACCAGAAATAAATAACATTAAATTAAATACACCGCATACTGCTTTACCGAAATTATCTCTTTTATGGAGCTTTTATCTAAACACAGATTGGAAACAACTTTTCTTACTACCGTTCTTCCGAGAAATCCAAAAAAATGTGCTTAAATACCCGGCGGACCCTTCCAAAACAAACGTGGTTGAACACGCATGGACGCGTTTCACCACAAAAGAATAGCAATAAATAGCTCGCTCTACTTAAAACACGATTAAACCTGGCAACAAATCCAAAAGAGCATCGCTGCAAAGTTTTACCGCGACACTTACCGTTCAAAAAGGACAATTAAGAGCGAAAACTGAGCAAATCGCTTGGGCTAGCTGGGAGCGGCCATGTTTCGCACGCCTCCGACAGCGGCGTGACGTCAGACGTCAGCGAGTCAACGCCGCCGTGTCGTGAAAAGGGGAGGGCCTTCCGCGGACTGTTTTTATTTATTTCTTTGTTTCATGTGCATAAAACAACAACAATGGTGGATAATTGAAGAAGTGTGACTATTAGGATGAGCGAATGACGTGTCCAGTCATAGTTACCAGGCCGATATCACAAGTGAATCAACAGGGGGATGATGAAGCGGCGCAATGCGGACTGCAGCAAACTCCGACGGCCGTTAAAACGGAACCGAATCACCGAGGGTATATATAGCAGGTACAAAAAGGGGGCCGGGGGGATGTTATTGTATAACAATGGCGCCTAGTTGCATATGTCAAGACAAGGCGGCCAGTCTCTGCTCATGTTCATATTGAAGCGTATTGACGCTTTGTTCTCGAGCTGAATGAACATGCCCGCTTATTGTCATAATTATAGGCCTAGTGTGGCATCGTTTACACGGCTAGGCAGTTAAATTCAAATTCGGGTTAAATGTAAAAGAATAATGCAAATTGCGTTCAGCGGTCAATCCGCTTGACAAAAAAAATCCCAAACAAAAACTAAACAAAACCGTGAAGTCGTGGGGGGGGGGAAATCCTGCTCGTGCTCGAGATGACAGCAGCAATGTCAGAGGCGCTCGTTTTGAAGTGGAACGGGTTCTCACCTGTGCTTTGTCTGCCATACACCGGGGGCTAAATTTAAACACGTCAGTGGGAACCGTTAGCAGCAAACAAAACGAGTCCCCGGACCGGAAAAGCCACACACGATTCAAGCACGGCTCGCAATTTCAAAATAGCATGGCCTTTCCTATAGACTGATAGATGGCAGGCCAGAACAGCTGTGCAGCAAGCTAGCATGTCCAGACATGAAACTCTGTACATACTGTTTTGCCCCCAAAGGTGTTTGGATGGATTGTTCTGATCTTTTATTGATGGGAATAACTGTATGCGTCCGCGCTCTGTGCTTCACTGTTTTTTAGTGGTATTATTATGTTAATTTTTTCTCTGAAATTAAATATTTTTAGCTTTTATAGTGTGAAAGACAAATAAGCTCAATTTGTGTACAACTTTCCCACCTCTTTCATCAATTAAATTAATATAAGCATAAACGGAAGCTTTATGCTTTAAGTTTTTGTGGTCTTCTGCAGTAGACCTGAAAGTCACATGCTCACTCAAAAATGCAGTTTAGTGTTATTTGAGCTTCTGTTTTGTTCACACAAAATGCTGTGCAGCCCCATCATAAACTGAGAAGCCTGGTCAGCCTTGCTACAATGTTAGACACCCCAGGGACCAGGTGATCCTCAGATAATGAGCAAGCACTTGGTGATGATGGGGAGGAAGAACTCCCTCTTAAGACAAAGAGACCTTTGACAGAGCCAGGCTCAGGAAGGGGCAGCCACTAGGAACACTAACCCCCAAAATTGGCTGGGGACACTGTGGGAGAGAGAGACGAATGTCTGTGCCATGCAATAGTTTGGTATAAAACACGGAGTGCAGAGGAGAAGCATTCAGCCCCAGGAGCTTATAGCAGTATACCTAAGGGATAAGGATGGTTCAGGGAGCTTTTAGGACAACCGGATAACAAACTACCGAAGTCGAGCCCAGAAGTAACAAATGCACATACCAGTTTTTCAGCAGGAGGCAGGATTATTCCTACTTTTGCCTTCAATCCTAGAGCTAGCACTGCAGGTCGCACTGAAAACGTGGTTCCTATAAACATATTAGACTGTTGCATAAACCTGAGGCCCACATGACTGTCATTAAACTGTATCGAAATCCACAATAAGCCATTTTTAGTGGTTCTGCTTTATCTCCTTTTTTCATCTGTCCATTCACCTTCCTTTTTCCCCTGTGTTTTCCTCTGTCTCTTCTCCACAGCACGTTCCTGTACCTGAAGTTCCTGGTAGTGTGGGTGTTGGTCCTGCTGGCTGACTTTGTGCTCGAGTTCCGCTTTGAGTATCTGTGGCCTTTTTGGCTTTTCATTCGAAGTGTCTACGACTCCTTCAGATATCAGGGGCTGGTAAGAGCTTAGTTGTAATGACCCTGAACACACCGCTCCTTCCACTCAGTATAAATGCACGTTGGAAGATGAAACATCTAATATCTCCATCCTTTTCTCTCCCACGCGTTTTTAGGCATTCTCCGTCTTCTTTGTGTGTGTTGCGTTTACATCAGACATCATATGCCTTCTCTTCATCCCCGTCCAATGGCTGTTTTTTGCTGCCAGCACCTACGTATGGGTCCAGTATGTCTGGCACACAGGTTAGTCCAAGTTGGGGTTTTTTTCTTGCTATGTTTTTCCCTTCTGGCAGCCAAATGGCCACTTTCACCTCAAATACTCAGTGCGTAAGAAATTCAAAGCTGCCAAGTTTCTTCTCTGCTAACTTGATGTTTTTTTCCCCGCGTCTCCTCCTTTCATGCAGAGAGAGGAGTCTGTCTACCCACTGTATCGCTGTGGATCCTGTTTGTGTACATCGAAGCTGCCATACGATTCAAAGATCTGAAGAACTTTCATGTAGACCTGTGTCGACCCTTTGCTGCTCACTGGTGAACATCAGTTTGTGATTTTTGCAACAATTTTCAATGTTCAGTAGTAAGAAATAAAATCATGACTTCCTTAATTTTTCTAATAATTGTACAAAGCACCGATTGTTTCCCCCCTACCTCCCAGTATCGGCTATCCAGTGGTGACTCTAGGCTTCGGCTTTAAGAGCTACGTTAGCTACAAGATGCGACTGAGGAAACAGAAGGAAGTGCAAAAGGAGAATGAGTTCTACATGCAGCTCCTACAGCAGGCGTTACCTCCAGAGCAGCAGATGCTGCAGAGACAAGAGCGGGAGGCAGAAGAGGGTAAGTCACAAAAACACATTAAAGGGGTTCTGTAATATTTTTCAACCATTTCTTTCATCTATATTCTGGTACTATTGTATGTTCTCATATTAAATAAGTGTTTCAAATAATAAAATGTGTATATATGGACGTAATCCCTGCTAGTCAGAAACTCGGGTTTCAGACAGGATGGAGAGCCATTCATTTCTTTCTTTATCCAAACAGTTTAACCACAGATAGTTTGCCACTGTGTCATGGGGCTAATGAAAAATGTGATCGCTAATTATTATTGAAGCTTTCACTTGAAGGCGTGCTTTCACCAATGCAGTTTAGAAAAAGTCTGCACACTGTTGTCTTCTATCACTTAGCTTTACTTAAGAACTAAGACCTCTAGATATGAGGCCATCTGGACTAACAAGTGTCTAATATACCATCAGAAGTATTGCGTGCCAGTCACATTGTGGTGATTAATGGCACGTCAGTCAGCATTTTCCCAAAGCTGGACGCACCGGCAGGCATCAGCATTAACTGTCCAGTTGTCAGGAACAGCTCATTAAGTTGCAGCTGATTATAACACATACTTGTACAGGATGTCAGTTCAGGCTTCAGACACTGATTTCAATCTTTAGCAGAAGATGGCATTGACGCTTGTCATCGTGCTGCTTCTTGTTTTGTCCAGTGAATAATTCCAAATGTAGAAAGTGAGGCGTCGAGTACAGCACAGATCCCATACAGAGCGTTGAACCCAGTTTATTTTCCTTTTTTTCCCTTTAAAGCTACAAATGACAGAAACACTTCCCATGTAAGCAATGTAAGCTGAAAGAGTGAAGTCACTGTCATTTTACATCATTGGCCACAAACAGCTCACTTTGATCTTAAGCAGGCTGGATCAGACCAGTGAAACTGTGGTCAAAAAGTGGATAGTGGAAAAACAGCAACGTTTTTTTAATCATTTAATTGTTTATGTTTTACTTAATTACTTTGGTGTAGTTTAAATGCCAATGACAGGGAGGGACGTTTGTTCTGGCTGATTCTGGCCCCCAGACCACATGTTTGACACCTCTGGCGTTATAAGCTGACTGTTCGTGTTAAGAATTTGTATAAAAACAGCTTGGGAAAAAAAAACTAAAGAATTTTTAAAAAGAGAATAAAGAAACAAGCAAATGTTCTGACTGTAACACTGCTACAAATGTTGAGCTGTTCATAAGCTCACATAGACGTAATCAGCCATCGCTGTATATGAACAAGGCTGGTATCCTGCTTGTGGATATGTTACCTTTTGGGATGGGACGTCATGGGATGGGACGTACAGCATCATTTCACTACATGGTGTTATGTAAACTAGATGACTCAGTGCACACCTGTTTAACTTAACCTTTCAGGTTTCATCAGAAAATGCTGATGTGGCTACTAGTCATCGCTTTCTTAGAAATTCAGAAGTTGGTAGTTTATGTTTTGAAATGATCTGTTACGCTTCAGATGCTCTGCTTTGCTTTCAAACCGCATACAAACCGAGATGCAGAACTAGACCCAGCATTTTTTTTCTGCGGCTCGGCCCAGATTTTTAGAGTTCGTTTGACAGCGCATACACCTGCTGAGACAAACTGAACAAAACAGGAAATGCACCAGATTTGGTCCCCCCCCTAAACAGGTTAGGTCTGAAATCACTCTTTTCTGTTAATACAAAACAGGAAACCCAGCTGCTGCCACAAGGCTGTTATATATATATATAACATATATATATATAACAATCCCTGATT